GCTGCCTTGATTGGTTTTGTAAGGAAGTATGAGGTGTGCAGATGTGTCTCTCTTGCCATTTAACCCAGTCTTTTCCAATAGATAGAAACCATTGACAGTAGTAAGTGGATGGATGAAGTTCTGATTCTCCAGGTATTCATTTTAGCACAGTCCATTTCTTAATCTTACGCTTTGATGAGTAGTATTTATGAATATAGTTCACATGGTGGTATACATACTCTGTCACTGGCGTATTTACCAGATGATTATGAGTAATCTCTTTCTGCTTAAGTAACATTTACAGATTTAATAGACTTGTAATTTTGTTCTCCAGAATGTCTACTAGAGTGCTTTTGGCCACTCTTTCCATCCCTATTACCCCTGAACGTACTGATATTGCCCGACTTCTGGATATGGACGGCATTATAGTTGAAAAACAACGGCGCCTTGCAACACTGCTAGGTCTTCAAGCCCCACCAACAAGAATTGGCCTTATTAACGATATGGTTGGTATATGTTTGACATTCTTATAGCTCTGAACAGAAAGCATTTGTCAGGTTTTATAATTCATGATTAAATACTGGGGATTCTAATGCATGGACAGATTTTAAGAATTGGAATTGTAGGTCAGTACTGTGTTCATTTGAGGTGATTTGTCACTAGTGGCTGAGCTGGATTTAAACTTGATGTAGCAAATAAAACTTGGACTAGCTCTGAGGAATAGGATAAACCAGACCACTCAGTAAGAGAGGAATGATGGGCAAGAAGGTTCATGGTTTATTTCAGGGGGCTGTAGGAAAACTAATTAAATTTACAGATTTTGGAAATAATGATGATGAAGCTAAAATGCAGATTTCTAGGTTTCACTCACTACATACACTAAATCAATTTCAGAATATGGAGCCTACGTTACATACGTTTACAGTGTTTTACATTGATGGAATCTTTTCATTCAGCAAAAATTTATCATTTGAGTACCTGTTATATGCCAGGCTAGTGATACTTAAGTGGAATTTGTATTCCTGAGGAGTTTAGATTTTAGGGACTCTGAATTACCCTAGTGTGACTTAGTAGTTATTGTCATATACCTCCAGCAAGTTACTTTACATGGAAAAAGAGGACTAGGTGTTTGAGAAAAGGCCTTACTCTCCTGGCAGAATCAATCAGTTTAGGTAAGAACGACAATAAATTCCCCCCTGTTTATGGGGGATCCATTCCAAGACCCCTAATGCATGCCTAAAACTACTAAAAGTAGTGAACCCTATATATATAAAAAATAGATATACATACTATATTTTTTCCTATATGCATATATTTGTGATAAAGTTTAATTTGTAAATTAGCCATAATAAGAGATTAACAACAGTAACTGATAATTTAAAAGAATGATTATATCCTGTAAAAAAATATTATGTGAATGTTCTTTCTCAAAATACCTTAATGTACTGTATTTATCTTTTCATTTAAAGAAAAGCAGTTCACAGCTCTGGCATATCCAGACTGTCATCATCACTAGTCTTACTCTTTGTGAGCATTAAATAAAACGGGTGACTTGAACACAAGCACTAGGATACAGCTGATCTGATAACCCATAAGACCATATAGTGCAGATACACAGGACAAAGGGATGATGTGGGACTGAGCAAGGACAGCATGAGATTTCATCACGCTACTTAGAATGGTGCACAATTTAAAACTTGCAAATTGTTTGTTTCTGATATTTTCCATTTACTCACTTTAGACCTCTGGTAACTGAAGCAAACTGCAGAAAGTAAAATGCAGATAGGGTCGGGGGAGCTACTGTAATGAGCTTTCTAAATATTAGGTTGGCCAAAAAGTCCCTTTAGTTTTTTTCTGTAAAACAAAGACATATTTTTCATTTTCACCAGTAACTTTATTTATTTAGATATATTGAGTATGTCAGCTTTCTTCTTCTAGCGGGTAGAGGCCAGGGGTGCTGCTAAACATCTTTCAATACATAAGACAGCCCCACAGCAAAGAATTATTTGGCTGAAATGACAGTAGTACGAAGAAACTTCACAAACCGTTTTGGACACATTCGATCAGTCACAGCACCTTCTCCATATACTGCACAAATCTTTCTTTGCTTTTCAGTTGTGTTTTTACCTTTCTTGAGGTAATGTTGCATATTTCCTTCCATCTTCAATATTAAAATGGCTGCACAAAAATTCATCAATTTTGATAAGTTTCTTTCTAAATGTCTGCTGATAAGACAGTTGTCACAACTCAATCTAACAATAGTTTTGAGTGAAGTTAAAGACAACTAAGCACTACTGTTTCTCTTTTACAGTAGTAAGGTAATTTTCTTTTTAGTCAACTTTTGAAAAGCACTATAAAACATTATTTCTCTGTCTTTGTATGCCTCCCTGTTTGTTTGTTTTTTTTAAATCCTCATAGGACATACTCATTGATTTTAGAGTGGAAGGGAAGGAAAGAGAAGGAGGGAGAGAAACAGTGATCAGCTTGCCTCTTATACATGCCTTGACCAGAGATCGAAACTGTGACCAAGGCACATGTCCTGACTGGGAATTGAACCTGTGACCTTTTGGTTCTTAGGGGCTTCAACCAACTGAGCCACACTGGCCAGGGTATCCTCCATGTTGTACTCTGCTTCCACTGACCTCAGACATAAGCTTTGTGTTTCGGCAAGTTTGTATGGGACCTAGGATTAAATGTAACAAAAACAATAGCATTGTTTTTAGGAAGAGGTCTTGTTAGCAATATGTTTTTAAAATTTCATTTTTAATACTGAAGAAGTGTGCCACACTGGAAATATAATCCACATCTCTTGAACCCGTGTCTCTACATACCACACCTTGATACTAAAGTTTGTCTGTTTTGATACTGATTTCAGGGATCAGTGATGGAGAGAGAGCCTTGAGCCAGTAGCCAGGACATCCAGATTTGGGTCCTCATTGTGCCCATAGATAAATGTAGATGTTTATAAGAAGGGTACGGGTTTGTGTCTGGTGAATAGATTAGGTGGCCATAAAGAGGCATTTATATATCTTGGTGAGTTTATTATGTATCTGAGGTTGAGACCTGAACTTCGGGCTTGTGTGGGTATAAACAGGCACCAAGAGAATGATACCATTTTCTCAAGATCAAATGAATTAAGCTATATGAGACTGATTGTTAGGTCAGAAAGCCAATTGTTAATTTTAGTGAGGAATAATACTTCAATAGGTTAGGAAAGCCTATCTCTTAGCACAATGCCTATTTAGAGGGGATGTTAAATGGAGAATCTAGAATTATTTGATTGGCATGAAATTAGAGCTGAGGGAATTTTATTTGTATTCTTATACCACACCACATTCCAATATTCTTTTTATAAGTATTCAAATGTTTTAGGACATTAGTCATATACCCATTTTGCTTTGGAGTTAAAACTTAGTCTAGAGTGCTCAAGTGTGTGGACATCATTCTTTTTTTGGGGATAGGATATGCCAGCATTTGCTTTAGTTTTGTGACTTGGTCTCTATGGGTATGGACTCCTGTACTTTCAAGTCTTGCTGTGTCCCTGCAGTTACAGTGTGTTTGGATTAGCTGTTCCCAGCATGTGAAAGATGAAGGTCCCATGAATTCTAGGTTTAGAGCACAGATAAGATTTAGTTATGGGAAGTTTTAGGGTTTATAACATGATGCCACTCTGTCTCATTTGTAAGAAAGATTATGCAAGTGGCATTTTTTTTTTTCTGGGAAAGGAAGTTGAATTTTATTCAAATATAAACAAAATGTTATTGAACACTTTTAAGAGTAGAAATCAAATGTAATTGGGTAAATTCTTAAAAGTTTCTTTCCAGTTACCACTTTTTATATCCCCCAAGAATAGGCATTGTCCTGATTTATAACATCACAGATTTTTGCCTATACAGATACACTAAGTTTCGTTTATACAAAATATAAGTTCATATAAATATGGAATTGTGAAAATTTTTTCTAACCGTTATATTTGTGAAATTTATGTGTTCAATATAGCTGTTCTTTCTTTGACTCTTTCTGTATGTTGTATGAACCTCTCCCTCGTTGTCCTGAGTTTTTCCAGTTTGGGGCTATTACAAACAGTGGTGCCATGACAGTTTTTGTGAGGTTCAGTTATTTGTAAACTCTGGTATTTTACTTGTTATTGTAAGTAAATTGTGGCTAAAGTTAGATTACTTTGGCCACAGGAGTTGTGTTTGTACATATTTTATTGATTATGTTTAGATTTTTTTCTTTCCTTTTTAAGTTCTTGTGGAGCTTTTCATTGATTGCTGCATAATTTGGGGCAAGAGACTGAGAAGTGGTCCTGGATTTCTCTTCAGAAAAATTTACAAGTTGAGGCTAGATTATCTTTCATTTTCCAGATTTCCAATTCTATTTTCTTCAATTTATCATCTGTTCAGAATCCCAGTTTGAAAATTTTCTTTAGCAATTCAACCTATTTTTTAAATTTAATCTTTATTGCATTTTTTTTCCCATTACCATTTAGTCCCCTTATACCTGCCTCCCCTGGCAGTTGAACGTCATGTTTTGTTTACTGTAGGTCAGATTCAATGTACTACAGTATGTTGTCCCAGAAGTGAAAGACCTTTACAATTGGCTGGAAGTAGAATTTAACCCACTAAAACTCTGTGAGAGAGTCACAAAGGTAAGTCTTTGTATTTAATTTTTGGTTAGATCGCCATGTAGCATGCCCTATTGCAGTTTTTGTTTGTATTTCTATTTATTAAAGGAGAAGTATTCTGTTGTCCTATGTGTTTGAATTCAGTGCTCCTTCCTTCCCTCCCTCCCCCCCCCTCTCCCTTCCTTTCCCTCTCCACCCTAGGACATGCTTATTGATTTTTTTAAAGAGAGGGGGAGGGAGAGAGGGAGAGAAACATTGATCGGTTTCATCTCGTATGTGTCTGGAGGACTGAAACCGCAACCTCGGTATGTGCCCTCACCAGAAATTGAACCCACAATCTTTGGGTTTGCAGGACAACATCCCAGTCATCTGAGCCACGCTGGCCAGGGCTTCAGTGCACATTTCATTGCCTTTTTTCTTTATGTCAAGAGAAAAGGTATTTCTGATGTGCTAAGCAAACCTGTGCAGATGAATCAGCAGCATGACTTAGAGTAGCCATTGCTGCCAGTCACCTTCAGACAAGTATCCATAGTTTCATAATACATTCTGCATTTTCTGTTGTGTGATGTTTTTGTATGTTAAGAAAACTGAAAAAGTTTTGTAGATGTTTTGGTGTCTGTTATGTACAGAGTATAAGTCTTCCTCAATTTAATGAATTTTTACAGGTTCTGAATTGGGTTAAAGACCAACCTGAAAAGGAACCAGAATTGCAACAGTATGTCCCACAGCTGCAAAACAACACCATACTCCGTCTTCTGCAGCAGGTAAAAATGAAAAATGGATGTTTTATGTAAGAACTGGAATCTCTTTCCTTGATTGTTTTGATTGCAAAACTGAAAAATTCAGGAATGGCTTAGGAACAAAAGCCTCCCCAAAGTCTACTCCCTGACCAAAATTAGTTGTATTTATATTTGATTTGGGGAAAAATAATTTTGCATAATTTAATAACTTTTTTTTGCTCATTTTGTTGAACTCTCTTTGTACATTTTCCCTTGGTGTAATAATGGCTTTTCATTGCCTAAGGGTACTATAACTTATTCAGACTATTGATACAAATCTGTATTTCTGGGCTTTTTGCTATTAGAAAGTGTTGCAGCGAGTGTATTTCTTAAATGTATCTTTGCATACTTCTGTGACTTTCTGTAACACAAGTAGTAGAATTAGTCAGAGTTTGTGCATCTGAAGCTCTAATAGCTCCTGAAAAGGTTCTATTAAGGGACCCTCCCACCAGGGGCAAGTGAGGGCCTTTTCTCCTGCAAACAGTAGGTATCATCAATCTTCTAACATACTTTAGTCTTACTTATTACTTAAGTTTGACTGCTGTGATTTATAATACGGTTAAAAGTTCTGTTATAATACAGTTATAATACGGTTAAAATACTGTTTTGTTTTCCATTTGTTTCATTTGGAGGAGAGGCTTATATGTTCACTTCAGTATTTGTGCACATTTCATTGACCTGCTTTCTCATACATGTGAGCAGTGTTATTTCTTATGTGCTATACAAATAGTTGAAGGTTAATTAGCAGTATAACTAAATAGTAATGCTGCCAGTCTCCTTCAGACAAATAATTTTCTAGAAAGTATTCAGATGAGTTAGGCTGCGGGTCTTTACCTGCATATATGTAATGAGTTAGGGGTTTTTTTTGTTTTATGAAATTATAAAAAATGCTTTTCAAAAATAGTATAATATGATGGTCTGAGACATAGGATTTGATGTTGAGAGCCTTGCATTGGAATGTGAATTCCAGCGATGTATTGTTATCATAGATACTCTGAACTTAAACTTTTCTCTGAACAATGGGCATAATTTCTACTTTCCAAATATGAGACTGCACGTAAAATGCTGAATAAATGATAGCTGCTATTATTAACCTTGTGTTTTTTATGCAGGTGGCACAAATTTATCAGAGCATTGAGTTTTCTCGTTTGACCTCTCTGGTTCCTTTTGTTGATGCTTTCCAACTGGAACGTGCCATAGTAGATGCAGCCCGGCACTGCGACCTGCAGGTGGGTGTTGTAAGCAGATGCTGAGGCGGAAGGCTGGGCTTTGAGGACTAGAAACACGTCTTCTGTTTCTTAGCTTTTGGTGCATGGGCACTTTTAAAGCTTGACTGAGCAGATCTTCAAGGTTTTTTATTCAGTGTTCTTGTGTTAAGTTGTTCCTCTAATGCAGTTGAAATTTTAAAATCAAAAATCATTCATTTAAAGAATGACTTTCTATGCATGTAGATTTAACTACTGATAATATTACTTGATTTTCAAAGGTTCGTATTGACCACACTTCTCGGACCCTCAGTTTTGGATCTGATTTGAATTATGCTACTCGAGAAGATGCTCCACTTGGTCCTTATTTGCAAAGCATGCCGTCAGAGCAAATAAGAAACCAGCTGACAGCCATGTCATCAGTACTTGCAAAAGCACTTGAAGTCATTAAACCAGCTCATATACTGGTATGCATCGTGGGGAGAAATGAACTACAGAAATTTTGAGGGGCCCTTGTGCTATGTCTTTCACAAAAAGGTTTGAGATGCTGTCTGAGAGAAGGGATTTATTATATTACCTATTGAGTTGTATTTAGTAGTTTTAGTATTTTTATCAAATTTCTTTATCAGATATACATATCAGTGAGCTGCCTTCCATGGGATAATACAGTACACATAATAAGGAGCATTGGAACAAACCACACAGTGATGAACCCCCCAATGGGGAATACTATTATTGGGCTTTTCCTTCATGCCGAAGTTGTTGTTTTCCTGTTTGTTTGTGTGTCCTGTTAGGGCTCCTCCTTGGCTAGAACATTTCAGAGTAGATAGGGTGCAGAGAAAAGTTGACTTAGCAAATTCAGGTTTTTCAGCTATGATGTTGTTGTGCGAAGAATGTCACAGCATTTGGAACTGAGAGCTGGTAGCTTGAATAACGTCATTACTAAATGCAAACACATAAGGATAATGCATCAGGATTATTTAGTAATTTTTGATACCTAGTACTGTGGCATGTCACTTAACTTTTTAAATACATTTGTTTTTGAAGCAAGAGAAAGAAGAACAACATCAGTTGGCTGTTACGGCGTACCTTAAAAATTCACGGAAAGAGCATCAGCGCATTCTGGCTCGCCGTCAGACAATTGAGGAAAGAAAAGAGCGGCTTGAGAGTCTGAATATTCAGCGTGAGAAAGAAGAATTGGAGCAGAGGGAAGCTGAACTGCAGAAGGTACGGAAGGCTGAAGAAGAGAGGCTGCGACAGGAGGCAAAGGAGAGAGAGAAGGAGCGTATCTTACAGGAACATGAACAGATCAAGAAGAAAACTGTTCGTGAGCGGCTGGAACAGATTAAGAAGACAGAACTGGGCGCCAAAGCATTCAAAGACATCGATATTGAAGTATGTAGCACATTACTCATTAAACTCGGTGTCATCTAGCTCTCTTAGAAGCACAGTCCTTTACCATTTATTGGTTTATTTTGGGTTTTTTGGTGGTTTCACTCATTTTGGTACATAAGATTTATTAGTATCTGTGAGGTATCCATTTATTTTTAATGGCTCTGCAGTTTTTCAGCATATTGGAGGAATGAGAAATAGATGTTATTTCCTCCTTATAATTAAGTGGAAATATGGCTATTGCAAAACATTTTTATGTTGCCCAAGTTTACCCATTATAAACATTTACCCATTATGTAAAAAGTAAGTTTGAATTTGATTGTAGAAGCAGCGCTCCATTGCATTTCTTCTATATTCTTTTTTTTTTTTTTTTTTTTAAAGATTTTACTTATTTTTAGAGGGGAAGTGAGGGAGAAAGAGAGGAAGAGAAACATCAATGTGTGAGAGATACATGGTTGCCTCTCGCACACCCCCAACAGGGGACCTGGCCTGCAACCCAGACATGGTGCCTTGACTGGGAATCGAACCAGCAAACTTTTAGCTCGCAGGCCAGCACTCAGTCCACTGAGCCACACCATCCAGAGCTATATTAATGATGGTACATTTGTATTATTTTTCAGGACCTTGAAGAGTTGGATCCAGATTTCATCATGGCTAAACAGGTTGAACAACTGGAGAAAGAAAAGAAAGAGCTTCAGGAACGCCTAAAGAATCAAGAAAAGAAGGTAAGTGAAAAGACTGGTAAACTTTTAACATGTCAAATTAAGAAATTTGTTTTAAAACTACATTTGTTTTTGTGTCATTCAGATTGACTACTTTGAAAGAGCTAAACGTTTGGAAGAAATCCCTTTAATAAAAAGTGCTTATGAAGAACAGAGAATTAAAGACATGGATCTGTGGGAACAACAAGAAGAAGAAAGAGTAAGATTTTAATTTAATTGAATAATTTTAGACTGTAAGCTATAATTAAATCCTCTGCCAGTAATGGGACTAGGATTTTAAAATTGATTTATTTTGTATTTTTTTGGCCAGATATGGTGCTTTAGTGATTGCATACGAACAGATTGGTGGGCAGGAAGTTTTACAGTGAGATTAAAAAATTAAACTTCTACAATAACTAAGGACAGGTGAAAAGTTTAGTTTTTAAAACAGCTTTGTAGGGATATACCATATTTTACCATTTATAATGTGTACTTTTTTGTCCAAATTTTTGAGGAAAAAGTAAGGGTGTATATTATACATAGGTAGTACTAATTTTGTATCTATAATAATGTTTTTAATTATTTTATTTATGCTTATGTGTTAAAAAGTGTAACTGCAGAGCAATAACATTTGTATGTTCAAAAATAAGTGCTGAAATTTATCATACAAAAAATGAGTATCAAATAAAAAATTGAATTAAAAAATTAAAAGATTTTTTTTTTCCCCTCAAAGTTTGGGCCAAAAACTTTGGTGCACATTATGTATACAGCAGCAAAATATGGTAATTCACGTGCCATGTGACTCACCTATTTCAAGTGTGCAATTGATGGCTTTAAGTGTATTTCCCAAATTGTACAACCATCTAGTTTTAGGACATAGCTCAAAAGAAACTTGGTACCCATTATCAGTTATTCCTTGTGTCCTTTCCACCACCTGGCTGTAGGCAACCTCTTTTTTGCCTTTAGATTTGCCTACTTTGGGTATTTTATGTAAAGGGAATCATATATATGACTAAGCTGCTCCATCTTTACCTTTGTTAGTCTATATTTACCTAATGATATAAAAATAAGTTCTGCAAATGCTTGTAGCAGCCAAATTTGTAATAAAAAGAAGTGACCTCATTCTGGTTAAGAAGAATAAGGTTACCACAGGCGGGAGACAGTGTACATTTGTGGGGACTACAGTGTGGAGAATGCAGCCCCGTTCCTGATTCCATCAGCTTGTTGTCATGTTTGGCCTGGTGTTGCCAGTTCTTTTTTGTTTGTTTGTTTGTTTGTTTTTAGAAGTTGGAATTTTAGTGATAATTCTCTTAACATACATAATCAGGAAAAGTGTTGCAGACCAAATAACGTATTTGAGATGATTTGCTGCAATCTCTACCCTGAGGCCTTACCTTTTTTTTTTTTTTTTAACTTGGAGCACAAAAGGAAAAGCCTGACCCTCCAG